TCAACATAAAATACCTTTTTAACACCTTGCTGTGAAACTTGTACAATAATACAGCTCACCAGTCGGCACTTACATTACACAAGTCCCCTGATTACTCTATCTCGAGTAAGTAATAATGGCTTGTGCTTATTTTCTATTGGACAATTTGCTGTATTTTTTATTGAGATAAAGAGACATGTTTATGTCTTTAGCAAGTGACAGACTGCTTGTTCAATTTTTCACCCAGCAATTGTAATTCATTGATTCAACTTTAATTAAATGTAAACATAATTTATATAAAATTTGTAAGTTATTGTAAAAATCATGTATACCAAACTACCTTATAATGAGGGGACACTATTTTGAGCAAACAGAGGAAAAATGCACAAGGAAATCACAATAGTTTTGCATATCTTGATAAAATCTTTTGGAACACTGCACTGAGATCGACCTCACATCCTGAGTCACCCCAGATGTTTATCTCCTACATTATATCCAGGGGGAATCTTGAGATGATTTCGGGGCTTTAGTGTCCCCGTGGCCCGGTCCTCGACCAGGCCTCCACCCCCAAGAAGCAGCCCGTGACAGCTGACTAACACCCAGGTACCTATTTTACTGCTAGGTAACAGGGGCATAGGGTGAAAGAAACTCTGCCAATTGTTTCTCGCCGGCGCCCGGGATCGAATCCCGAAACCACAGGACCACAAGTCCAGCGTGCTGTCCGCTCGGCCGACCGGCTCCCTCTCTTAATAAGGGAAGGGGATTAAAAGGTAGCTGATGCCCCAAAAAGCCCACACCACAGACAAAAAACATGTGACAGCTAATGTCAACAAACTGGGAAGGCTAAGCCTCTCATAAGGAATCTGAAAACAGTTGCAAACTTAACTTGCCTGATAGACTTTTCTAACCTGACATATTGAAAAATGTGATAGATTGTTGGGTACAGATAACTGATGTCTGAATACAACATAGATGACTATACTAGTTAGAACTATTTTAAGGTATAATGATACTTTATATTTTTTTTAGTGTGTATAATAAATGTGGATTTGTCAATGCCTGACACTTCATATATAAAGTAAATTACAGTATTCTTTGTTTCTTAAAAGTTTCAAGTAACATCTAATAGTAAGAGTGCAACCAAGGAAAAAATAAAAAGCTAATTTTTAAATTAGTAGCCCGTTAGTGTTACCTTTGGCTCAGTTGCACCAACTCGGCAATATTTCCATTTAACCATAATTATCTAGACCAGGATTACCGGACAATCTATAAATGTTGGAATCTATCAGAACATAAACAAGACAGAATTGAAAAGTGATATTTACCAAAAACAAGTGAATGTGTGGTCCTCTGAGGTAGCTCTAAACTTTCTCAATACAACTGTATTTTTCCCAGATTGTCACAAAGCAAACTAAAGCCTAATAAAAAAATGTCCTCAAAGTTTTTCCGCTTTTAAAAAAGGTCAACGAATACAATATTAGTTGAAGATAATAAACTAGTAATATACTGAAATTTCCTTTTGCTGTTTGAATTAAGGCATGAACAGCAATAAACAAATGGGTTAACAAATTTATTAAAAAGAGATTATCCTTAAAGCTGAACAAATAGCATACCTTTCTTCATACAACTAATTACTATCAACAACATAATCACCTGTTTGAAAATGTAGACTTTTAGTTGCCATAGAATATCTAATGATGGGATCATATTGAAATGCTGAGAATTTGATCTTTCACTGTGACAAGTGATGTATCTTGCTTAATCAATGTACTGTATATTAATACCCTTCAATAACTTAAAGCGATCAAAACCTTTCAAGATAAGCCACTTGAATGTTGCAGGCGATAAGTCACAACGTGGCTGAAGAATGTTGACCAGAGCACACACTAGAAGGTGAAGAGACGACGACATTTTGGTTCCGTCCTGGACCATTCTCAAGTCGATTAAGAATCGACTTGAGAATGGATTCGGTCCAAGACGGACCGAAACGTCGTCGTCCCTTCACATACCACATACTAGTGTGTGCTCTGGTTCACTTGAATGTTGCTCCAAAAACCTAATGGTAAGGTTTATATCATATGGTAAGGTTTATATTTATATATATATATATATATATATATATATATATATATATATATAATTCTATATATTTTATATATAATTATATTATATATATTAGTTATTGTACTTTGTACATACATACAGTATAATCTAGATTATCCAGATTAACTTGGACTGGTCCCTATCCAATTCTTCCTGAAATTTTTCATACATCAATAGTATTTAAAGACCAACTTTTATGAAGTGGTATAAACAATAGAACCTGCATTTGTAAACACTAATACCAAAGTCACATGAAAAATATACACTATTAACATTCAAAATCTCACTTACCTCAGTTGGTTAAACACATCACCACACTACCCTTAGACAGCCACAAGTTGGTTAAGCAGCACCTCTATTTTTCTCTGTAACTAGCTGACATTGTAACTATAAAGTGTGAAGGATAGATGAAATTTTTTATGTAATTATTCTAAGATGAGGTCTGATAAAGACCTTCTGTGCCCTCTGTAATGCTTTTTGCGCTACCGCTCACAGGATGAGTATGGGGTACATAATAAACTAGCCGCCTCTGGCGGCAACAATCAATCTATTTTTGGCTTTACTAATACAGAACTCTACTTTTGTTTTACCAACTTAAGAAGTGCTCTAGAGAATTTATGGGATTAGTGCTGATTTTTGCGTGTCTACCGTATTCTAGGCAGTGTATTAAACTTCTAAACTTGTTTCTTGTTGTTATATAAAGTTTTGAGTTAATATATATTCTTACATTGCCTTATTTCACATCCCAAGTATTCCAAACATAATTATGTACTGTATTTCTGGCTGGAAAGGGAAATGATCAATATATATTAATCTTTAAATTGGGGGTTTTACAGAGTATAACAAGAAAAAATGTGGACACTTTCAGTTCTCTGAAATACAAGCCTGTATTCTAAACATATATTTAAGCTTTATTTATGCAGTTTTTACCTTAGAGAGGGTTTATAGAACATAACCCCAGTGCATGTCAAAGGCTGCTTGTACTCTCATTTAAAAATTCTGTTTTATGTCCAGTGCATTAACAACTGAAACAGAAAACTGTCTTAACAAAATATTAACTAAAATGCAAACAATTTACTTGCCATATTAATTTAAGAAACACAAATTGCACTTGCTTTGCTTTACCACTGCATTTATTTAATGCTTTTACCCTTATCTCTAATCTACATCCAGGGAGGTCGATGCCGCCTGCATGTAATCTAGCCATCACCAGTCATTTGGATCAACATCTGTGTAACCCACACTTTATCCCGATGGGTTTTCACCCCAACCATTCAGCACTTCAGGAACTCCAGATTATACTGTATATTTTTCTATGAATTACAATACAAGCACAATAGTTTTGGGCAAGCAAGATGATTTCATCCCTTTAAGTGACTACGACATTCATTAATATATTGTATTTGTCTGTTTTGCTAAATTTATTTAAATACTTGTCAGAATTTATCTTAACATGTCAATAAAAGTGATCTACCCAACTTGAGAAAGTCACAATATGGTAATATCTGTATTGATAAAGACTACAAAAAGTACATTTGTACAACTCATTCACTCAACTCACCAAGGGGGCATAAATATTTAGTCCTGGCAATTGTCAACAAGATTTACCAATTGGCAACACTAGTCCATGGTAAGAGTACCATATTACACATACGTCAATGCTGTTTAAAGTCATCATTCATCACAATGCATCAACGTGGGCAGTTATATCTTTCCAACAGGCTTCATGAACCCAGGCCTACTTATGAAATATTCACTTACAGTATAGCAATTATTATATGCTATTATCAAACTAACAAATGACCAGGATCTTTACAATAAAGATCAGACCACATATATTTTTGAGATGATACAGTTGAATGAAGCGCAAAACGACCCACAACCAAGATTACGCATAAGATCTAGTCAGATGTATACTCAAGCCCAGTAAGTCACTCAAAATAAACAATATCACCAAGCACACCTGGTTCACCTGCAACTCCCTACGCTTTACAACGATATGAACACACGGATACATGTCCTCGATAATGAGAGGATCAAATTATGTATTCATTCCCAACAAAACAGGAGGGAGACTTGCAGACACAATTTCAAGGCGAGAAGTATGCCATCCTCACCTGGCTGGCCAGCAGTGTCTCCTTAATGCAGCTCTTACAATGGAGAATTATCACATGGTTGAGATTCAACGAGAGACTGCACACAATGTGCTCGGCAATGTCTCACAATATTGGCTAAATAAATTATATTATAATATATTTTGTGTGTGTGTGTGTGTATTTTATTTATATATATATATATATATATATATATATATATATATATATATATATATATATATATATATATATATATATATATATATATATATATACATATACATATATATATATATATATATATATATATATATATATATATATACATATACATATACATATACATATACATATATATATATATGTCGTACCTAGTAGCCAGAACGCACTTCTCAGCCTACTATGCAAGGCCCGATTTGCCTAATAAGCCAAGTTTTCCTGAATTAATATATTTTCTCTAATTTTTTTCTTATGAAATGATAAAGCTACCCATTTCATTATGTATGACGTCAATTTTTTTTTATTGGAGTTAAAATTAACGTAGATATATGACCGAACCTAACCAACCCTACCTAACCTAACCTAACCTAACCTATCTTTATAGGTTAGTTAGGTACCAGAAAAAGTTAGGTTAGGTAGTCGAAAAACAATTAATTCATGAAAACTTGGCCTATTAGGCAAATCGGGCCTTGCATAATAGGCTGAGAAGTGCGTTCTGGCTATTAGGTACGACATATATATATATATATATATATATATATATATATATATATATATATATATATATATATATATATATATATATATATGTATGTATGTATGTATGTATGTATGTATGTATGTATGTATGTATGTATGTGTATGTGTATGTGTATATTTATATGTATACATGTACATACACATGTACATCATTATGTGAAATATTAATTATTATTATTCAATATTTACATCCATATTTACTCCTAAACCATAACAACAAAACCTTTGAGCCATATGAAATGAAATCCACATCTATCAAGGCAGCTTTTAAGATCTAAGAAAATAGAATATAAAATTTAGCCATGATAAAAAAATGCCCTGCAACCAAATGCATAGGCATTAAAGTCTATTGTCCATACATAAAATTGGATAATACAATAGGCTAAATATAGCCTCAAACAGAAAGAAGAAAGCATAATAAAATAACAGACATTATTTACAAGAGTGACAACTGCATTCCTAGTGTACCCCTCACTGCACAACTACCGGCTGTGCTCCTAACATACACACACACACCATCACACATTCCTAGTGTACCCCTCACTGCACAACTACCGGCTGTGCTCCTAACATACACACACACACCATCACACATTCCTAGTGTACCCCTCACTGCACAACTACCGGCTGTGCTCCTAACATACACACACACACCATCACACATTCCTAGTGTACCCCTCACTGCACAACTACGGCTGTGCTCCTAACATACACACACACACCATCACACATTCCTAGTGTACCCCTCACTGCACAACTATCAGCTGTGCTCCTAACATACACACACACCATCACACATTCCTAGTGTACCCCTCACTGCACAACTATCAGCTGTGCTCCTAACATACACACACACCATCACACATTCCTAGTGTACCCCTCACTGCACAACTATCAGCTGTGCTCCTAACATACACACACACCATCACACATTCCTAGTGTACCCCTCACTGCACAACTATCAGCTGTGCTCCTAACATACACACACACCATCACACATTCCTAGTGTACCCCTCACTGCACAACTATCAGCTGTGCTCCTAACATACACACACACCATCACACATTCCTAGTGTACCCCTCACTGCACAACTATCAGCTGTGCTCCTAACATACACACACACCATCACACATTCCTAGTGTACCCCTCACTGCACAACTATCAGCTGTGCTCCTAACATACACACACACCATCACACATTCCTAGTGTACCCCTCACTGCACAACTATCGGCTGTGCTCCTAACATACACACACACCATCACACATTCCTAGTGTACCCCTCACTGCACAACTATCGGCTGTGCTCCTAACACACACACACACACCATCACACATTCCTAATGTATCCCTCACTGCACAACTATCGGCTGTTTTCCTAACACACACACCATCACACATTCCTAATGTACCCCTCACTGCACAACTATCGGCTGTGTTCCTAACACACATTTACCGTCACAAATTTTCATGCACACACTAAATTTATATTAGGTATAACTTTATACTATCAAACTGTAGGCAGCTCTCCTACATGGACTTCTATTCAAATAACCTTCTGAAACTTATACAAGACCTGTAACACTAATGTCTAGAAAAATCATGAATAATTTTATTTTATCAGTAGTATACCTGGTGGAAAAGTTCCCAATAGCACACTACTTTTGAAAGAGATAGGCATCAAATCTACACATTTTTACTCTAATGTTATATTACATTTTATCAACAGGAACCACATCATACCATGCCTAAAACATATTCAATAAAAACTTTGAAACTACAATACATATTGCACAATCCTGCTTTGAATGTTGGCCATTGCATACGCAATACCTGTAAATAATAGGTATTTGATTTGATTTTCTAGATCTTTCCTTCATGCATCACTAAAATATATACTTAATAATGATGAACGCTTGTTGTGTGATCTTGAAAGCGATTCAGAAGCATCACTAAAATACAACTGCTTGAGACCTTCATAACTGACTACCATGGAATGAGTGCCTACTGCAGAAACACCGTTTGATATATATGCTGTCTCCTTCGATAATGACCTCGTAAAAATATCTACACACACACACTAATATATATCTCGCACACATACATACATACACATATGTCAACTATAAATTATTTGGACACACCGACAATGGAAGTATTAAATATCTTTTTAAGTTATGATAAAATATAATCATACAGATCTTTTAATTTATATATCATTCATCCTCAGATATTATGAATCCCTATTACCAGCTAATTATATCAGTCCTGATTACCATAAACTCATTTTAACACTTGTATAAAGGAGCTCAATTCGTCAGGTTCACGTCCATCAGAACCACTAGAGCCAACACTCAAAGGCATACCAGACAGTCCTTCAAGTATCATATATCAATATCAATACTATATCGTACTGTGAAACTTGATCTGATAGTTTTGCATACTCTTCTCTAGGACCCTTAAGCCAACATGTATAAATATGACACACACAGCATCATCATCAAATACAGAACACTTACATATGAATACAGCAATCACTCATACTTACAAAAAGTTTCCACAATAATTAATGACAAAAAGTATTTCTACCAGTTCAATAAAACACCTGTTTACAATCTCAAAGATCACAAACCAAATCAATTGAATGACAACAAGAAAATGAGACACCTTAGCACCTACTGGTATGGAAAACTGCCACCACTCCAATAGTAACAAGACCCTGTATGCTGGTATGCACATCACGCAACACATTGCACTGGTCTTAGTGATGCAACACAAATCACGTACACATCCTTCTAAATAACACGCACACATACACACACATGAAATGACTGTGTAAACCCTTTAAATGACACACAAAGCAACTACATCCATAATTTATTCAGAGATACACGTACACGTGATGCATCTGCATATGTTCCAGGCACTCCTGCGCGCGCGCACACACACACACACACACACACTTAGTAACAACATATACTCCTTATACTAATACACATGAATCAACAAGACATACCTTTTTATGGGGGGAATGAACATACAGCAGCAATGCACAACCAGCAGAAATCAGGGTATTCAAATTGTGTGTTGTCTGTTACTGGATTTGCCATTTTCAATTTTATATATATATATATATAAGTATATATATTAATTTATATTTTTAAATGACTTTATTAGTTGATGAGGAAAACTAAGCGGGCAAACTACCGTATGTCAAAGAATGTGGCAATACTAATCCCATTAGAGTGAACCAAACAAACAATTTACATGGGTAAAAGTAACGCTTGGATTGATACAATCCCATGAAAACAATACCATCGAGGAAATAGAAAGTAAAGAACATTAGCTAATTTCCCACTGCTAGTACTTTTCTCTGCATTTCCAATGCAGTGACACTTGCTCTTCTGCCTCCCCCACTGAAGGCTGGAGAAAGAACACGCTTCACCGTCCTGCCGAGACAGTACACGACCTCTAGCTGCCATCCTCATGGCTGGGAAATCCCCAGATGGAACCAAGGCAACAATAATGTAGACAAACTGATTCAACTCATAACAGTGTTTTTTGTTTTAATAAATTTGAAATAACATTTGAATTCAGAGACAATTTACATTGTGTAATGATTTGTGAATAAGTTAAACTCAAAGTTTAGCATAAGACTAAGTGAAAACAGAGAAAACAAAGTACATGCCTGCTGTACTTACAAGAGTTGCCAATAAAACTTAGCAATCTCCTGAATATCCAATATAAAGCTGACTATATATCTGTCCAACTACCATCCATATAAATAAAGTTAAGAGTCTGGGAAGCAAGCCTTTCCATGGATCTGTTGCATATTATAAATCAAGAATATTGGTGGAAAATGACTAATAACCAGCAACACTACAAGGTCTAGTGTTCAGTAATGTGTATATACTGGCGGAGGGTGGCAAGGCAGGTGTTAAATACATGTGTCGGGAGAATGGCTGGAATATGGCTGCTTTCCTCTTGCTGTTTTATTTTTGTTCACATCGCCCTTGACATGTGTTATGGGGTCACTACTACACTTACGTGGGTTACCAAGGGTCACAAGAGTGCTGGCAATGGCTAAACCACCTGAAATTACAGAAAAAAATAAGATATTAACTTTATATTGAACTGCTGTGTATACACATGAAAATACTGGAGGGCCAGGTCCCAAATCTATACAGTAAAATAACATACTGGAGTGAACGATATGGAAGGAAATGCAGAATCGATATGTCCACGGCTGTTTAACAACCGACCATAAGAAATATTGCCAGAACAAGCGTGGACGTCTTTAAGATAAAACTGGAGAGTTTTCTTCCAGTGCTCATGTCTCAAATGAAGAAGTCTAAAAATGGTACAGTGAAAATACACACACACACATGCCAGCAATACAGCTACTGTATGATAAAAACAATGTGACCCAGGACACTAGTTCAATCCTGCCCTCCTCCTCCTCCAAACATTTTCTCATATAGGTACTCGATTTAAACATAGAAATATGACGAAACCTAACCTAACCTATCCTAACTTAACATAAGTCAGTAATATATCTTAATCTTCAGGTAACATAAGTCACTAATAATATATACCTACTTGATGGGGTTCTGGGAGTTCTACTCCCCAAGCCCGGCCCATGGCCAGGCTTGACTTGTGAGAGTTTGGTCTTAATCTTAAGGTCCTATCTTAATCATAAGGTAATGTTAAGACACAATAAGAAACATACCTGGGTGACCTATGGGAGTATAAGGTTCTCCACCAGTTGGCAGCTGCACCAGGAGGGAGAGGACGGCGGCACGGTTCCCACAACAGGGCTCCAGGGCAATGGGGCTAGGATTAACCTACCAAAAAAATAAACTACTTACAATCATGACCAAAAAAAATTGCTTTCAATTTCAAATCTGCAAGAAATAAATTATGCCCCAGAAACGATCTGCAAAGACGTTTCTTTATAGTTCTTAAGTCATCAGGATGGAAATATGCCTTACATTTTAGCAAAAAAAAAAGGATAATTTTCATATAACATGTACCTCATCACTACAAGTTGCACCAGTAAACCCTTGCTCACGTTGATCCAGTAAACCCTTGCTCTCGTTGATCCAGTAAACCCTTGCTCACGTTGATCCAGTAAACCCTTGCTCACGTTGATCCAGTAAACCCTTGCTCATGTTGGCCCAGTAAACTCTTATGTTGCTCCAGTAATTACTTCCTCAACACATATTGCTCCAGTAATCTCGTCTGACATGTCAAGGGGCACAATCAGTTGACCCCTCTCAGTGCTCAAAAGGGTAATTTGATAATAACCTCCAATGGATACCTAACCCAGTAGACATTCAACATTAGAGTGAAAGCAGTGGCATCTAACAACCCATCTGACCAGACTACCAACCAAGAGGTAGTCAAAAACCTGCCCACGGGGACACAGATCCTCGGAACCACCTCAAGGTACGTCACACGGGGACACAGATCCTCGGAACCACCTCAAGGTACGTCACACGGGGACACAGATCCTCGGAACCACCTCAAGGTACGTTACTCACACTAGCCCCTCACTCAACACGTTACCAAAGTAATGCCGCACAACACACAACCAAAACACCAGGATAAATTCACAGCAAAGGCAGGGGCCACCCTGTATAAACAAAGCACTAAACAAGATCTCAAAGTACAAAGTCAGAACTGGGGTGAAATGCCAAAACTTTGGAAAACACTCGGGGAAGTCAAGGTACCCACCTGGGAAATATACGGAAGAACCCAAGGAATCCAGGGGACACAAAGCCCGGCCCTTGCAACTTTCCGCCACCACCTAAAACAGAGGGAAAAAGAGCAGGCTCCTTGTACAGATTCAGAGCACAGAATAAGAGAAAATACCTTGCCCAACCAGAACAAACCTAGAATTTGCAACCAAGAGGACACAGGTCATGCTTAGGTAAGCAAAGAAGGGCGCCCCATCCCCCAAGTCAGGAAGGAGAAGGGATGGCCCAAAAACTATGAGGTGATGCCAACATCTTCAGATGAAACCACTACATCCACCAGCACTAGCACATAGAGGCAGAAAGAGGCCACAGCCCTGATGAGAACCGGATAATGAAAAAAAAAAAGAAAAAAAAAAGAAAAAAAAAAAAAGAGGGCTAAACAAAAGTAAGCCCATTGCACCCTCAAGTGAAACTCAAGAGGGGTAATGATGCAATTCAAACACACAAAAGAAACATTTTATATGTGAGGAGTTCGTTCATTCTAAGCACCTGCGTTATCATTTGACAGATGTACCGCCCCTTACCACTTAGCATAAGAGAAGCCCATCTTGAAGATCCAAGTCCAGAGCAAAGACCCCAAGGAACCACCAAGGAAGTGGTTCAACTCAAGGGAAGAAGAACCACACTGAAGGCAACACACAAAACAGCTTCAGGAAAAAGATAGCTAGTCAGAGGCATGTAAAAAGACTGGGAAACAAGTAGGACACATAATAAATCTAAACTAACTCAGCCATGGCACAGCTAGGAAGTATATGGGTGGATGCCAGGACTATACACACAGAAATCACAATTGTGTGATGCATCAAATGAACAAATCCACAAGGGCCGTGACGAGGATTCAAACCTGCGTCCGAGAGCATCCCAGACGCTGCCGAGTCGTAGCTCAGTCGATTAAGGCAGCATCTGGGATGCTCTCGGACGCAGGTTCGAATCCTCGTCACGGCCCTTGTGGATTTGTTCATCTGCCATGGACTATGTGAGGGGTACCTGGCTCTTCCAACTCTGTTGTGATGTCATCTGGTAGCAAGTGGAGTGAGTGGTCTTTGATCTGCTAACAGTAATTTGCTGAGCAAGAATTCTCAGTCTTACCATTTCTAATTAGCATTTTCAAGAGGTGATCGAGAGCTGAGATTCGTTCCTTTGCATCATAGTGAGCTAATAGATTTGGTGGTAACTTGATTCACCCCTCCCTTCTTTCCTTGAATATATGGACATCACCATATGTAATGACCCCTGTAATAATGGGATTAAAAATCATGAGTATCAGATAATATGAATCCTGGGTGAACCATTAAGCTATAAAAAATATTTAAGAAATGCCAATACCTTTTTTTTAACTTTGAGTGTGCCAAGGCTGTCCAAGAGGTCAGAGGACAGACTATCTGGTGATGTTCCATTTGGGATGACTTTATTGGCACTATTATTACAAGATTTGGTATTATCTTTGCTTGAAGCCTTTGTGATGGCATTGGAAGCAAGATAAGGAATGGCAGTGGCATTTGGCATGGCCCCGTTAGTTCCTGTGACACAGCAGTTGTTGGTGAGTGTTGTAGTTATGGTGGTGCTGGTTATGGAAGAAGTTGTTGCAGGAGTTGTGTCACTAGTTTCTAACGCCTCGGCAGCCACGCCCCTTGGATACAGTTCCAGAAGAATAGGGCGGAATGGCCGAGATGCCATAGCCTCCATCTCAACCAGAAGACGCTGCAAGGATCACAAGCATTAAAATTATAAAGTGGGGTTGAGAATGAAACAAAAAGTATGAAAAAATCATCCACTAAGCTTATTTAGTTTCTTTGTGTCAATTAAGTGGATTAATTAAGAAATTCTGGGAGCATCAAATTTAATGGTACAGTACAATTCTCCACAACTACAATGATAAGCCACATGATATGCTTAATTTATGAATAGATTTTATCAACAAATAATCTGATAATTTATTCTCAATAACTTAAAACGCAAGACTGACTCACTCATTATACATATGAATATACAGTACAACCTTGATTCAATGAAAATGAGACCAAATCCAATTCACTGCACTGAGGGAATGGTTGTAACTGGAGATGCCTCCAGGATACATTTCCCATGCTCTATGGGCTAATTTCACCCAAACGGCAACAAAACAAGTCACTTTTTGAATAAATGTATATATGCACCTGACCCCTAGTAGGTGGAAGCCTAGGTTACCCAGGGTTCCAAGTCACCCCCTCCCTCTCTACTGGAGATGACCTTGCAAAGGTCTCTGCCACGAAGGAGGTTATCTTGAGTTGATTTTGGGGCTTTTTAGTGTCCCCGCGGCCCGGTCCTCGACCAGGCCTCCACCCCCAGGAAGCAGCCTGTGACAGCTAATTAACTCCCAGGTACCTATTTACTGCTAGGTAATAGGTGCATCAGGGTGAAGGAAACTCTGTCCATTGTTTCTCGCCGGCACCCGGGATCAATCCCGGGACCACATTATCACATGTCCAGCGTGCTGTTCGCTCGGCCGGTCGGCCCCACTTGAACTGAGGGGGGACTAACCACATGCTCAACACAAATACAGTAAGGGTGATGCACACCCCTCCAGGCAGAACTAATTTTCCAAGAAAAGTCAGCACTAATGGGGGCCCCAGAATGATAACGCCATGTTGAAGAATTAGGGGTTTGGCTGGGTGAGACTTCAGGTGACCTGGGCTACTATTTGATAGCAGTCAGGTATAAGGTGCATCATGGCTAGTCTATCATCCCCCTCCCCCACCTCAACAACAATCATTTGCCAAGTTTACCTACGAGTGCCTAACTTCCTTCAAACATTCCCTTTTGTTACGCCAATACTTTAAGCTGAATTATTTCTGGTTTGGGTAAATGTTTGATTTTCAAGCTTCCCTTGCCTCATGCAGTGAACCAGAGTCTGATTCTGGCCATCGGTGGGTGATGGATGGGGTCTCAGAGGCCGGGTGTGTTCAGCTACGGGGTGCTACCAGAGCTACACTCTGAAGGATCCAATCTCCTAAAACCAATCACTGAATGACAAAGTACTTCATTTCCCCACCTCAGCACTTTCTTGGCCAATATTTTCACAAATATAAATTAATAATTCAAAATTAATAATCAGAAATTAATAAATCCCATCAACAATTAATACATGGCCAAGAGAGGAGCTGAACAGCTAACAAGGCGATCTGCTTGATACTGCTTAATGGGGTTTTGGGAGTTGTTCTAGTCCCCAAGCCTGGCCAGAGACCAGACTTGACTTGTGAGAATTGATTTCCCGATTTTAAATCAACAATCGATCGATCTCGGTCGATTAATTTAAAACGATCAAGAGAAAATAACAAAAATTATTGTAGATATACTGGTTATCTTGAGGTTATCTTGAGATGATTTCGGGGCTTTAGTGTCCCCGCGGCCCGGTCCTCGACCAGGCCTCCACCCCCAGGAAGCAGCCCGTGACAGCTGACTAACTCCCAGGTACCTATTTACTGCTAGGTAACAGGGGCATTCAGGGTGAAAGAAACTTTGCCCATTTGTTTCTGCCTCGTGCGGGAATCGAACCCGCGCCACAGAATTACGAATCCTGCGCGCTATCCACCAGGCTACGAGGCCCCTAGTTTGTGCTTAAATTTATATCATTTTTGTAATAAAACTTTTCACTTGCCTGTCTCCTGGTATAGATGTCATATTTTTGTTTTATTTTCCACAATATTGCAGCCAATGTTAACAACACTAAAAAACACCTGTGAAAGAAGTAAGACATTATATTAGTACAGTATCACTTATATTTAATGAATGGAAAAGTTCATTTCTTTATCTAAAAAAGAAAAGATTGACTAAAAATATCTTGTAAATTTCAATTTATCAAAGTAAGAATATTATGTGCAAAGAAAAACGTTGACATTAATAGGGAGTATATTTTCACAAAATGAACATCGGTATATGTAGCTTTACAAATGCTCTACCCACCCCAGTCTTTATTATATGTAAATTTATATAATAAGTAAGTACTGGTATTCATTTAAAATTTAAACAATGCAAACTGTTTTGTATATTATGTCAAATACACACAATTTATGAACTGCATAATTTGATTTACAAACCCTGATATTAAACTATCATTTAGAAGATCACTCGATGTATTTACCTCAGCGAACCTGACCAACAGCACTGCCCCTACTCCAGTAAATAGCACAACACCTACTCGTGTACACACTAACTACATCCCTCACGATCCAGAGCCTCACTTGGGCTGAACAGTAGAGTGACGGACTCGCTTCATGCAGGTCGGCGTTCAATCCCCAACTGTCCAAGTGGTTGGGCATCATTCCTTCCTCTCATCCCACCTTAAATCTTTATCCTGATCCCTTCCCAGTACTATATACTATAGCTGTAATAGCTTGGTGCTTCCTCCAGATAGATCCTTTCCCTTGCCAAACAATACTTTCCTAACATCAACTACCGGTAAGTGAGGCCTAGTACTGGTGGGGAAGTGGGATAGTCACAATTCCCTAGTTACTTATACACCTAATTTTAAAATTGGTCATAATGCAGTAAAATCATTCCTACCCACACTCCTGAGCATAGCAATGTTTTCTTGTTAAATCATTGATGTCTCAATACACACAACAGGCTGCATCATTACCTTCATATAAGACTCCTCATAAAAATGTCAGCATCTTTTCACATAATTCTGATATACAAAAATGTACTGCAGTTGAATACTTACAAAGAAAATATAGAAAAAAACTGAATTAAATCCAGTTTAGGATGTTGTGAGAAAGAGACAACAATTTCTATAGGTGGTGTGAAGTTGTAGACATAAACATGGAAGGTGGTGTTGTTGTCAGCAGAACCAAACGTGTACTCTGAAGCGCTGAATCTCCGCTTAATTCGTGTGCCGGTGAAGTTACGAATTATCCAAGACTCGTGACTCCGAGCTGAAAGTAATAATAATCACACCGGTGAAAAAATGTTTCTCAAATTCATGGAATTATGCCCGTCGCATAATCTGAAACTTGCACATCACAAACACGTCTATGAGAGGGTGAATGTAACATTTAACATCTGTAATTTTGAATAAGAGTAAACATCTGATCAATAATGAAATTAACCAGTTCCGAGGTTTATAGTGTTTTAACCCTTGGATTATGCAAGGGGGTAACTTACATCAGGTATTATCTGTATAAACAGAAAACTGTATTACAAACAAATTTGTCTTCCAATTTTCTTTAAAACAGTGCCAAGAGCATATAAAAAAAGGGAACTAAAAGGAGGAATAAATGCATGTATTTTGTTTATACTAACATAGATGGAGCAAGTTAATGAAAACTAAATGATGCAACACAGCAGAAATTACCCGATGTTACTACATTAGCTGAAACAAAGTTAAAGAAGAGAATTCAAAGTAAAGATGTCTTTCCAAAGGAATATTCAACCTGGAGTTGCCATAGAAAAAAAAAGAAGTGTTGCAATGGAGGAGACAGAACACTTCATCGTTAAAAAATAAATTCTCGATAGCCCAAGAGTTGTACAGGTGGTAGCATTGGAAATTTGAAATCAAGCCAAAAATTTAGTATTCAGAAATGCATACATCCCATCAACAATTAAAACATGGACAAGAGAAAAGCTGGACCACTAACAAAAAAACTTAAATGGTCACAAGCTAATAAGAAAAAAATATAAAACAAGAATGCAGGCTATGATTAACTTAATATGAAATCGAAAGACTAAAAAGCTTATGATGCAAGAACGGAAGAGATATGGACTAACAAGTTTACAAATTTCCTCCGTGAGACTTTAATATAACAGCTTGTATAACAGGCCACGGGAGTAAGGGAAGGAGATCTCATCGTTGCTCGATCTTCATATTTGCAAGGACATGTGAAGAAATATTTAGCCTGCCTCTATTAGGAAAGAGCAATCAGGTCTTATCGGAAATTAAAAATGCCATTTAATATAATAGAAGAGATAAGTAACAAGGAGATATGAGAGAAACTAAACTTAAAAAATGGACATGACATGAAATTAATAACATTTGCCAATGCATTTGATTGGGAAGAATTCTTGATGTGAGGATGTAAACACTATATATGAAAAACTTGACAAAATTTATAATGAAAATACTCCATGATTCATTCCAAAATCAGATATACACAAAAGAAAATGGAACTAATACAGAAAGAAACCAAACCCGCAAACATATGAGAAATACAAATAAGCTCAAAACGTAAACATGGCAGTGAGAAGGAACTAAGGTAAGAAAATGAAGACAGGATAGCAGACAAATGAAAAACTGTGCTATAAATTCTTTTAAAAGTAAACTTCATGTAATAAGTGAAATATAAAGATTAAGACTGGGAAAAATATGATTATACTGTTAAAGGCATTAAACTAACATCTTTTCAGTTCAGTAAATGGCAATGGAGAATAGAATACAGGTATTTATACTTCAGAATAACCAGAGAATCTGGAAAAGAGGGATCAAAATAATAGGGCCACACTCTGCATTATGTAAACAGTAGGCCACCTGGACTTACAAAATTATGAATACCGTATAAATTGTAAAAGAAGTGCACACAACACACAAGGGAGCCGGTCGGCCGAGCGGACAGCACGCTGGACTTGTGATCTTGTGGTCCTGGGTTCGATCCCAGGCGCCGGCGAGAAACAATGGGCAGAGTTTCTTTCACCCTATGCCCCTGTTACCTAGCAGTAAATAGGTACCTGGGTGTTAGTCAGCTGTCACGGGCTGCTTCCTGGGGGTGGAGGCCTGGTCGAGGACCGGGTCGCGGGGACACTAAAGCCCCGAAATCATCTCAAGATAACCTCTCAAGATAACACTGGGAGCCCCTATTGTACAGTAATGCTTTATGACAAAAATACAGATCAATTACCTGTCAAACATAAATACCACATGGATTACTTACTTGTTTTTGCTGATATCTTGATTTTTGTTGCTTTAGAACAGTATATGTCAAAATCTGTGTCTACATCACTCTTTGTGGGAACATTGAAGAAGTTGATCTGCCGTATGTGACGGTCTTCATGCTTCGAGAGGTTAAATGTAAACTGATAGTCAATCTGAAGGTCGTCTACAAGGGAAAAGAAACACGTAAGACATCACTTACAACAAATTAAAATGTTTGACATTTCATGCATATATATATATTATATTATAGTTTAAACAAATACAGTACAGTACAGTGCTTTAGTATTAAAAGAACATATGTCTGCAGCACCACCATTTAATGCCAAGTTAAACAAGTTCCAACTCCCTACCATTTTTTCAAAGGTTTCCATTTAATATAAATATTAATTTCTAAACCAACGTACACTGTTGTATGCTATACACTATATTTCACGACACCCAAAACAACGTTTCCTTGGAAGTAAATGACAATTTTTAAACTCTGTATTGGTCCCCCTGAATTATCAAGATTCAATATAAAGATTCATTTGGCTAATTAAGTGTTATGTCAATATACAATCAGGTTTGGACTCTAATAAAATAATGAAATTAAAAAATATAAGTACAATAAAAAAAGCATTTAAAATCATTAAGAAATACTGTATACTGATAAAGAAGTACTGATCATTATATATGTAAGGGTGATTAGTGGGGCATACAGTACAGGAAAACCACAAATATAGTCCCCATACAAGGGAGCCGGTCGGCCGAGCGGACAGCACGCTGGACTTGTAATCCTGTGGTCCCGGGTTTGATCCCGGGTGCCGGCGAGAAACAATGGGCAGAGTTTCTTTCACCCTATGCCCCTGTTACCTAGCAGTAAATTAGGTACCTGGGTGTTAGTCAGCTGTCACGGGCTGCTTCCTGGGGGTGGAGGCCTGATCGAGGACTGAGCTGCGGGGACACTGAAGCCCCGAAATCATATAAGATAAGATCTCAAGATAAGATGCATATTATGTTCCCCTGGCATCTTTTCCACCACAGGCTGGTTATGGGGGTGCATAAGAAATGAACTAAATAATAAACAAATAACAAAAATTCTTGAAAGCTCTAATTGAAGGCATCATTTCCTCAACTCACAGAAGCATGATCCCTGAAGCGGCTCCCCCACGTAGTTGTTCTGCGTGTCACAGCGCTCACAGTGGTCACCAGTCACACCCTTGGTGTGGCAATTGCAGCGACCACTCTCCCTGTTGCATGTATCACCGTGTTCATTGCACATGCATGCTAAAAATCAAAGAAGCTTTAGGGGTATAGCATTAAAAAATGTCTGCAATAATTATAAACAAAATCTTTTTACAAAATAGTAGAAGGATATGTAAGGGCAACCGACACATTTATAAACAGACATGGATGCAGACAAGGATACGGATATTTATACAGCTGAGGACCATTCAAAAATTGACAAGAGTAGCATAAGCACCTCTTGCTATGACATTTATGTGCTCCTTTGGAAATTGTACTCTCCGGAACCATTAAATCTCCTTTTCTGTGTTCCATAACATCTTTTCATAGATTGAATGTTGCCTAATTTGAATTAAAAAACAATCCAATATGTAGAATTTATCTACAGTGAATTTTATTTGTACAGTATTTTGTTACTCCATCACATGCCTTTATCTTGTTAAATTCCAAGGGCCATGAGAGTTCCCTAACTGCTTTATTCTTCTAACATGTTCTTCTAACTACAGTGGTGTCTTTATGCTTCTAAAGTGTTCTCATAAGTATAGTGTTCATTGTATGTTCAGTATTTCTCTGGGTACTGTTACAATGTTAAACAATATTCTTCTTCTCCTATGTATTTACGAGCTCTTCGAATTGTTAGTCCAGAGTTCTTAGATGAAGAGTTTGAAAATATTGAGTATTGGATACAAGCTTGCTACCCAATAAGTTTCTTGGAAGCTTGCCATAGCAAAGCACAGCATACATTATATATAACAAAATAAGTGCCGAGAAAATTTGCCCTAAAAATGTGTTATACTAACCATATTTTTCTGGGTTTGAAAACATTGTCAAGGCCTTGAAACTATTTGATTTACACGTGGCATTTAATTTTGAAAATACCATTGGTAAATTATCAGTAACAGCCGTCATAGTAATAACCGACATTTAAAAAATCCCCTGTAAAGATTGTGACACATACTACATAAATCAAACATCCAGAAACTTTTAAGTTTGAATTTCTCAACATAAATATTTTGTAAGAAATGGTCAACTGTCTAATGCTCTATTTATTCATTCGTCACAAAACTCTCACCAAAATGATTGGGAGAGGTTGTCTTCAATTATAAATTGTAAAAGTATTTGAAATTGGAAATATTATTGAAGCAACAAATTACAAAATCATATTAAGATGAATCTTTCTAGTGTGGTGTTTCGTCAACATGAATATTAGTTATGGGTTATCCACTTTGGACCCATTTTTAATGGATCACTTTAAAAATGATCTAAATAAGATGATTATTAAAGAACAATTTGCATAGGGACATTAATTCTAGACATTCACATGTCTTGGCCAATGGGTCTTCTGCAGTTACCTTTTTTTTCTTGTATTCATTAACCAATATTACCTGGACTTTTTTTCCACCTCACATGTCACCGTCCTGTCAATATATCACACACTATATTACATTGTTTGTATTACGGGCTATTCATGCCCGTGCCACCTCTTGGGTGCCTTAATCTTCATCAATCTATCAATCAATTCTTCGTACTTATGAAGTCGAGTTGATTGACATAAAAGCGTTCAAGTAATTTATTGCCCCATTTTCTGTCGGAGTACTGTTGATGTGTTTTAGTGTTCACTACAGTGAACCTAACGTGTTAATAACTAAGTTCAGTAGAACTTCGGTTTCAACTCTTTTAACCCTGTCGTAGCTCAGTCGTTTGAGGCAGTGTCTGGGATGCTCCCGGACGCAGGTTCGAATCCTCGTCATGGCCCTTGTGGATTTGTTCATTGGATACATCACATTAGTGTGATTTCTGTGTGTAATGATGTAAGGGCGAAGAGGGAGAACGGCCTATTGACATAGCTCGAGTGCAGGGGGAAGTTGTGTAAAATCCTGGTTTGTGCCTCGGAGAGGCTACAGGACCCAGTAAGTTCAGTAGAACTTCGGTTTCAACTCTTTTAATCCTGTCGTAGCTCAGTCGATTAAGGCAGTGTCTGGGATGCTCCCGGACGCAGGTTCAAATCCTCGTCACGGCCCTTGTGGATTTGTTCACTAACGTGTTAACCGAGAGGGCGGTGGATACCAAAACAGCCAAACGTGTCAAAACCTCATATGACAATGATAATAGTGAAGAATGTGACACGAGTGTAACTCTCATACTGTATCTATGGAAAATTAATGACATATACATGACATACACTAAAAAAAAAAAAATCTCCCAAATTACAACCCAATAGTAACCACAACTTACGTTTGCAAAGGCCACCATTGATGGGTTTTCCAAAAAACTTTTCAATGCAATGATGGCAGTGCGATCCAGCAGTATTATTGGAACAGGGTAATATGCACAGACTGTCATTTTCACACCTACTGTGTCCATTACAATTACACACTGGAAAGAGAAAGCAGACAATAAGATATACTATATACTGTATATACATATCAAAGCTGTCATAATCAAAGTAATTCAGTAATAACAAAATACTGAACAGTAAGTGAATATTTGGACGTAGTAAAATCTTTAAAAGGGAAACAAATTTTTTTTAGCTGGAATGGTAATTAAACTACTGTTACTGCTACAGTATAACAAATAAAAATAAAAATTATAATGCTATGATAATTGAAATGTTGCACTTCAACTTTGTAAATGAATATTCAAGACTGAAATCAGGTAACTACGGCAAAGCATGTTAATTTTCCAAGTGTTCGTTCGGCACAATGCCTTGTAGGTTACATGTATTACAGTTCACTAACTGAACATTACCAATACCAGTGTTGCATTCAATTATGATGATATTAAGGGTATTTCATTCAATTATGATATTAAGCGTAGAATATTTCAATCAATTATGATGATATTAAGGCTATTCAACCCTCCAACACAAACTCACAAGGACAGTCTGTAAAGAACCAATTTAATTTGGGACATTTGCTCTTCTGCATAACTCCCGTGACTGGATTGATGGGCCCACGCTGTCCTCCCTCTATGCAAGTGCCAATGCCTGTGCCACTGCCATCGTCACACCAGCCACATGCCACATCTGCCTGGCACTCCTTGCACGTCTGGTGAATGCTGCATCGACTCACACCTGTCGAATAATACACGTCGGTTATTTTCAATTAATTCAATTATAACTAATAACACTGAATATCCTGCCTCACAGCCACAGGGCCTGAGGCTGGGCAAGATGAGAGGGGGTGACAGCTTCACTTACCAAGATTAGGTGGTCACTGATCCATTCGCAAGTTGCTCTAATCAATGCCACTCTATCAAGACCACTGGTAGCCACACTCCCAAACCAAACACTTGCAGATTTGACCTTTAGTGACCCACATGCCCAGATGCAGTCAACACACACACACTCTGGAAACCCCGATAGTGCTCCCGAGTGTGTCCCAAAGTAGAAAGCTTAAAGAGGGTGCATCCAGAACACAAATCTGGCTAATGAGGATGATAAATCAAATATTTCTATATTCAGATAATCCAAATATAGTAGAGTATTCGGAAAACAGGTATGTACTTGGCAACAAAGTACAGTATTCATGTACAATCTGCTCATATGCTCAAACCCAGTTAACTTCCATGATAGGCACGTATCTGGAGCAAGATTTATTATACTGTAGTGTGTACAATTTTTTCATTTTAGAATATTGCTCAGTTTTGTGTTTCACCATTCACTAATCATTGTGTTATCATAATTTACAACTTCAATAGATCTAAATAAATGTTGATAACCAAAATGAAAACTGTTACAACATTCTAAAATATCTAAAACAAGGGAATGCCCATTGCTGTTACACGCAAACATTTCACCTCACCTGACTCCACATCCGGACACCTCTTGGCCTCTGTTGTCCACTCTCTGCACTGTCCATACGGGAAGCTCACCAAATATGAATTGTTGTTAACACATCGCTGTTGGTTGAAGCACCACATACACGAGCCCTAAAGAAAAAGTAGTTTTTAATTCTTGAAAACCAAACATTGATTGAATTGAAACATCTATTTATGGATGAGCCTCTATGGTTCCTCAAAGCTATCTCACTGAAAATGTTCCATGCAAATGGGTCACAATCAGATGTACGAGCTTCAGTTTGGCTTACTGGGGACCAAAGCTAAAACCTGACCTCCTCACAGAGGCAGTGTGTGTGTGACACTTTACCACCACACTGAGAAAGCGGTCAGAAAGTCAGAGAAGTTTTAGAGACAACGGGTGGGATAACAAATACCCAAGCCTCAAAATTACCAAACAACTCTACAAATGATTCACACAGAACAAGAGAAATATTCAAAATTAAAGCAAAACTCATAGTACTGAATGCAACCACCCGGCAAACTTGCTTCCACATGCAGCCATCCTTCTTGATCAGTTCTAGAGCTGATGAACAGCCACCAACACACTGACTAACCAAATAAGAAGGGAGGGAGGCAGGCAGGAAGCCACTTGGGCTCCTCCAGAAAGAGGCATATCATTATATTGAACACTGGGTTTCTGGGGTGGTGGCGCTCTAAAGCTAACTAACCATAGAAGAAAAGGGGGAATTTACCAAGGAGGAGGAAGAGAGGCAGCATGCACTAGGGCAAAGAAGATAATCCAGGCTGGTATACATGGCCCCAAGGTAACACATGACCAAGTGCGACCATGGAATAAAATGCCAAAACCCCAAAGCCCAAATATCAGACATTTGCCTAGCCTGGTGTCAGGCCAGGACATGTTATAGAATAATGCGGGCCAATGCAGCATACTTGTGAATATCAAGGATCCGGGGGTAGACTGTAGGGTTGCTAGATTTAATGAGACTGCAGATAACCTTGGAAATATGAGCCTTGGAACAGGGGGACCAAGGAAATGCAGTCAACAATCAAGGCATCCACTAAGGCAGAACCGGTGACCCATAGGTAGCAGCAAACAGCCACCACTTGACCCAAGTGATGCACCCCCAGCCCGACCAACCAAGCATCAATCACCAATATACCCCTTTGAAAGCTAGTGACTCAATCTTCACTGGAAAAGAAGGAGAAGGCTGCAAATGAACAAACTGCCCACCAAGAACAAAAGAACAAAACCTCCACCTCCAGAGAAGAGCCTGAAGCTCTCCAACAATATAGCCAGAGGGGAAAGCCAACAAAAACAGAGCTTTGAGAAAGATATCATGGAGCTGAAGGGGGAGGAAGACTAAAATGGAACAAGGAGAGGAAGACCAACGCCCAGAGGTAAGAGACCAGGATGGCTCAAAAAGAGCAAGACTTGACTGGAGGTGAAAACACACACAAGACAATTTGTGGTTTGATGAAGTGTCAACGCTGAATGAAAACAACAGCGGCTCTGCCATCGTTGAGTCATGAGGCAACAAAATTAGGCATGAGATGCCAATCCAAAAACAACCAGGACAAAAAGAACAGGACAGCCTTGACCGAAACAGAAAAAATGATGAAGAGACAGATAGCGATGAAATGAGTGCCTGGCAATCTTGCTCTGCCACTGTGAGGCAAGAAGTTGGAGGGACACACACAAATGGTGAAATACCAGACACTTACTCTCTATACAAATGATGAAAAAGACACATGAAAAACTATTAAGACACGTAGACCAGAGGAGAAGGTTGAACCAGGGAAGTACTGTACATCATTCGATCAATCTGCCGAAAGAGGTGGAGCAATGTAAAAAGTCCAGGTTCAAACACCAGGCTAGAAGCATCAGAAACCAATTCTTCAGGCCACCAAGAGGCCAGAAGAATTCCCCTAAACCAGTAGATTCCAGAACATGAGTACCTTAACAATACAGCATTAATACCATCTACTCGCTATTTTATCTACCTCTTAGGATATTTATTTATTTACAGTATTCATAAACCAAATCTTTATAAACAACTGATATTCTTACCTTGGTTTCAGTGCAGTTGGAACAAGATAATCTCTCTGCACACGTGAGCTCACACGGTCTGTGATTAGGCAGTGCACTGCGGGTACCACCGTTCATGGGTGTCCGGTGATCATGGTCAATAGATGGAGTGGTGGGAATATCTTTTAGTGTTAAGCTAGGTCCTGCCTCTCCCGTGGCCCCACCAGTTGATGTTCTGTTCGGTGCAGCAACACACACTTGTTCCACCCAGTCGCAGTGGTGGTGAGCACGACACAGCAGGCAGGTGTTGAGGGACTTGCAGCGAGACCGTAAGGTGTCCTCACACCCCTCTCCGCTCGCCACACCCTGCACATCAACGGTAAAAATAATGTTTGATAAAAATTCTAAAATTACATATGAGATATATCTGGCAGTAAAGTGAAGAGTAATTAAGAGCAGAAAACCAACTAAATACCTAAGCATAGTAAACTTTATTAATGGCTTGCTGAATCTAATAACTTTTCAACTTCTACTTGTGATTCAAAATGGAAGGAAGAACAAGTTTAATTAAAAAAAAAAAAATACTGCCAAGATGATAATAGTGTGATGGATGATTTTAACTGAATAAATTGTTCTTTTATGTGCAACTATTTAAAGATAATAATTCCTAACACATACATATTGGTGTGACTTTTGTTACCCCATTCTTTATGCTAATTCTGTGTCGAAGAAAAGCAAAAGCTGGTGTCAGTATAGTAGAGTGAATGCAGAACCTGCAGTGACCTAATGTGTTTCATGTGCAACATGAATTTGACCTAATGTGTTGCATGTGCAACATGAATTTGACCTAATGTGTTGCATGTGCAACATGAATTTGACCTAATGTGTTGCATGTGCAACATGAATTTGACCTAATGTGTTGCATGTGCAACATGAATTTTTATTTTATTATTCCATAGTAGAGTATACAACTAGCACTACGATCCTTGTAAGTCATAACACCAATCCACATGTATGCATTCAAATTAAACATATAGATGTGTAGAAAATTTTCAACGTATATCTTGCATGCCTTAGCAGACAAGTCATTAAGAGCCAAGCATCTGGATTTACACCAGCAAAATTGGGAAAATCCCAAAGAAACTTTAAACATTTGATCATTTATTGTTTCACTGCTCGAAGCCATCTGATGTGAAGACAATCAGAAAACTTAAGTTACACTTGCTGCTTTCTCCATCAACTTTTGTGACTCTGATTATTCCAACTGTAAAAATACTCAGCTGACCAGGTGTGTTTCCTGCCTAAGACAAGAGGCCTACACTGTACTGTCATTTGGTGGTCGGTCACCAAGGCCACACGACCTCTGCCCCTGTCATCCCGACCCAATCTGATGTTTTTCTGCACCCTGTGGATATTAAGCTCTCCCCTCCTCTAACATCAGTTTATTTCCCTCAAGAAATGTTTGGTAATGCCATAATGCAAGAATATAAAATAAAGGTTCATACAACATGAGAAACACAGATGAATCAGAAGATTTCAATGGAGTTTGAAGGGGATAAGATGCACTGGTATCCCCGTCAAAAACCTATGTTAATACATTAATGCCGAGTGTGTTGATGATTAGAGTCTGCTTCCGTATAGGCCAAAACCGGCCAGTACTAGTGGTGCACGTGATAATCTCTTGGATTAATGAGTCTGGAAAGTTACTGACCTAATGAAAATGAGGTGTTATTGCTAGTCAAGTTAAACTAGAATTTAGTACTGGTTTTAGAACAGTGTATGATCTCTAACACATGTGGCAGATTCTGCTATGCTTCATAACTCAGTGCAGTAAAGTTCTTAAAACAACAAAGATTTTTTCTTTGATAATCCCAGTTAATTACATTATCTGAGATTTTCCAAGAGTTTTTTGTGTTTATTTGTTTGGTTCTGGAATCTCATTTTTTTTTGTTCGAGTGGTCATTGTTAGTTTGATGGAAATATCTTCAAAGGGTGGTACAAATGAATCAAATTGCAAGAAGAAACAGATTGTTAAATCGACAAAAGTAGTGGTCTGTGCATTTTGCAATGGTTGGTATCATGTCAGCTGAGTGGAGGTGGTTGAGTAAGACCAGGTTGACAACTGAGTGAAGGTGGTCGAGTAAGACCAGGTTGACAACTGAGTGAAGGTGGTCGAGTAAGACCAGGTTGACAACTGAGTGAAGGTGGTCGAGTAAGACCAGGTTGACAACTGAGTGAAGGTGGTCGAGTAAGACCAGGTTGACAACTGAGTGAAGGTGGTCGAGTAAGACCAGGTTGACAACTGAGTGAAGGTGGTCGAGTAAGACCAGGTTGACAACTGAGTGAAGGTGGTCGAGTAAGACCAGGTTGACAACTCTTCAGTGTGGTTTGTGTTGAATGAGTGCGTCAAGTCAATGCTCTTTTCCTTAAGGGGAAGAGCATTGATGTTTTATACAGGAAACTGGTAGTGTGACAGAGGCAGTAAATTATTATGCTGGCAGTGTGATTAATGACTTTATCCAGAGAGAGAATTTTCTGGAACTGCACGCTTCTCTGCTTTCTCCACACACCTTTGTTTGGTATGACAAAGAAAACTCGAATAGAAATTATATTGAGTTGTAATTCCTTGGGGAACACTTGAAATCAAGATTACTGATCGTGGAATAAGTGCCACTGTGTAGAATCAACAGGTTTTAACAGTCAAGCCTAGACTTGGCATTGGTGTCCATAATTCTTCTGTGGACAATATTATTGGTGTAATTCATGATGAATCGAGTTCTATTTCTTTTTAGTATACCTGTATGGAGGCACGGTATAAAAGGTCAAGATATATAATTTTACAATCTTTCCACAATGAACCATTTCAAAGATGCTGGAAAAGAATGAGAGTACATTTGCTACACATGAGCAGCCCCTCCGTCAACAAAGGCATGTTGTGAATGCTCTAGTTTTTCACAATGTGAAAAATGTGATTTAAATGAATGGCTTTTGAGATTATCAATTCATGAAATTTTCCCACAAGACATTTAGTTAATTGACTAACAGTTCAATGCAATTTATCTATTCCTTCTAAAAAAATCAACACTAGATTTGCAACCTTCCTCGATTACAGAACTTTGACTCTATTATTAGATTAATTAAATATGCAAAACAAGGGCTCACTAATATCTTTAAATTCTTTAAGAACGCTTGACAAATACTTTGTTTGGTCCTGGTGGAATGGGCTTTCATTGTTCTAGTGGTTTAATTTGTTACCAACTTCCTCCCTGACCTGGGTTGGGCTTTCATTGTTTGAAATGAAACCATTAATATTAGGTTAATAACTGCCTCACTGACCTTGGCTTCATACAATCAACAATCTCTCTCCCCTGATGCAAGAGTCTAAGAGTTTGAAAACTAAGAATAAAAATAGGACAGTCATCGATTTGTAAACAAAAAATAAAGGAAGCAATTTTTTTGCCTAATGGGGAAAAAAAAAAAGTGATGCATTTTCTTGTTTGTGAATAGCTGAAAAATATTTTGATAAAATTTGTAAGTCTGTCCAAGCAAGTAATGAGACTTGTGTTAAAAATTTATAACAGGTCTGAATTTCAGATCATTCGCGGAATTTACGCCAACATACACAAACTAAAGAAGAAAAGGCAGAGCTCTGAAAAACTAAAGTCAGCTCAAAACATTTAAATCGTTATTTCAAAATTATTATGTGGAACTGCAATGACAAATTAGAACAATTCAGTATTTAGTGTATGTGCCAGAAAGTAATGAGTTACCTCTATCATAAAAGTTCACAAAACAATAAAAATTCTTAACATTAATTTTCCTTTCAAAATAAAAGCATGCAAAAATCTGACTTTCACCCCTGACTAACATATACACCTAATGTGGAGCTCAAGAGTTAAAAAAAAAGACTGCATCTGTGTTGGGATTAAATCTGTCTTACCAGTTTGTGATTTAAATATAAAAAAATTAATTTACAGTTAGAGATAGAACAATAAGAGTAAAATATTAAACTACTGTATTTACACAAAATATTAAATTTATACAAGAAAATGAAAAGCAAAAATATTAATTCGACATTCAAAAATGTTCAAGATGCAAAGCCACTATTATACCGACAGGTCAACAAGATGCAATGCTGTAGCAAGATGCAGGAATAATAGTGTACAACTGATAAAGCTTCACTTCTGGAATAGAGCTCGGCAACTCATTCAATGTTGTGAGAGTAAACATGCCAAACACCGGCCCAGCTACAGCTTGGTAAATACTACACACAAAAATCATAATTGCATGATGCATCAAATGAACAAATCCACAAAGGCGTAGCTCAGTCGATTAAGGCAGCGTCTGGGATGCTCTCGAACTCAGGTTCGAATCCTCGTCACGGCCTTTGTGGACTTGTTCATTTGGTAAATACTGCTTAAATCCTGAACACATTCACAGATAAACACTAAACTCCACTACAGTATTACCAAGACTGACAATCTACATTCCCTCTGCTTTTGGCATTCCATCCCTTATTATATTTCTCTTTTCTTCTGCTACTGTTTTTTGCTAATATTCTGATGCTAATTAACTAATTTTCCATCTGTACTGAAAGTTGTTTTGAAACAACTTTTTTCGATCAAGGCAGCGTCTGGGATGCTCCCGGACGCAGGTTCGAATCCTCGTCACGGCCCTTGTGGATTTGTTGTTTTGAAACAGATTTTTGCTCTATCTTGTTACCCTTTCATAACATTTCGTTATAAACTATTGCAGTTAATGCCTAGTATCACTGTACATGTCCAAGAGCCAAATCTGGCAAAGAATTATGTAACTTAGTTTGACCATTATACAGAAATAAGAGACACCAGCAAATACAGAACCAGCACACTTTTTTTTTTCAACCTTGGACAATAATACAAAATATAAAATAGACGTACGTAAACAAGTATTTTAATATAAAGTATCGCCTTCAAATACTGGTTGATTGATGAAAGCTAATGTGGTACAGTTTTATGTATTAAGGACTGTAAGGTTTCATGGAGGCTAGCACCATTTTAAAAGCACTACAATCACCTTCTGTGGTTAATTGTTCAATAAATCACTGAATTATATGTCTAACAGATCTCTAACCCCGTCCATGGATGACAGAAGACAATGCATATATGCTGTTTAGCATTGTAAATGTGTGACCACGTTTGTGGTAGATAAAAAAAAATAACTGGCTACCACGCAGCAAGTACACCCTGTTTCCCCCAGTGTTCAAGACATGCATACATCTTGTTCAGTGCTCCCATAGTGCATGCAGTACACATGCACTTTCATGCATCCTTGCACAGACACAAATAAGAACCAGTCTTTGTGGCTGGAGTTAATTAAAAAGAATC